AGAAACAACTGTTCCCCCTCCTTGTTCCTTTGTCTCTTTCTCAGGCCAGCAGGTCACCTGGTCTGCATCAACACCTCTGGCTGATTCTTGCAGAGGAGGGGGCCCAGCCATCAGTTGTCAGGCTACAGAGTGTTGGCCATTCTCTGCCTCAGGGAGCTAGGCAGCAGTCACACCTGCCCTCTAGGGGTCGCTGTAATAATCACACACTGTTACCCCACCACCTAAATATCTGAGTAACACATAGGGGAAACTGAGGCACACACACTGTAATCAGAGAAGACATTAAAAACATTCCCACTTCATCACATCCCCCCTCAGCATTCTCCCAATTCACAACCTGGAGCTCACATCTCCTGCTTTGTGGGCCTTTGCACAGAAGCTCATTCCCTAGTGGGGCATTTCCTTAATGACTGTGATGATCTGTGGTTCTTTTTAGTTGTGCTGCTCATAGGCTTCCCTGTCCTGGTCCCCAGCCCAGTAGGCAAGCCCTCCATTACTACTGTAGATCAGAAAAACTTTGTCCCAGTGAGAGTATTGCTGCACTTGGGTGATTTGTCACTTATCCTGTGAACCCTGAACTTCATCATTTCACCTGGATTGTGCCCTTATCAACTGGGAATTTACTGCATAGCTGGCTTTATTGTTTAAATGCAGAAATGTCCTAGGGCAGGGATCGGCAACCTTTAGCACGCAGCTCACCAGGGTAAGCACCCTGGCGGTCCAGGCTGCTTTGTTTACCTGCCGCGTCCGTACGTTCAGCCGATCGCGGCTCCCACTGGCTTCGGTTCACCTCTCCAGGCAAATGGGGGCTGTGGGAAGCGGCATGGCCCGACGGATGTGCCCGCAGCTCCCATTGGCCTGAAGCAGCGAACCGCGGCCAGTGGGAGCCGTGATCAGCCGAACCAGACGCAGCACATAAACAAATTGGCCCGGCCTGTCAGGGGGCTTACCATGGTGAGTTGCATGCCAAAGGTTGCCGATCCCTGCCCCAGGGGTTTCTTTTGCCTGTTACAAAGATTTTTGAAAATCTGCCCTCTTAAATGGCAGATATTCAAAGACACATATGGAAGTAGGGTACACAAATCCCACTGACTTTCAATGGGAAGTGTGTGCCTAACTCCCTTAGGCTTCTTTGAAAATCCAAGCCTAAATCTCCCACATCTTTGTATGTTTTTTTGCATTAACAATTAAGGAAAACAGGATACCCTGCCTTGCATTAAATGTAGATTTAAAACTTCACATCTACTTATATCGCAAGAGAAACTGTTTTACGCAACACATTTTTTCAAAGTAACTACTTAATCTTAATTATAGCTATAGCTCGCAATGATAGCTTTAAAATTGACTAACACTTTCTACTAATACCTTCTGTTTTCAGTTGCTTAAAAATTTAGCCAACTTTAATTGTTTGGGATGAAATAATCTGTGCTTGGTCTCTCTTTGGGGTTATATTAATTTTGGAAAGTTTCAGCAAAAAATATCCATCCCTTTCTGAGAATGAGGCTGGAAAAAATATGATGTGATCATATAATGAGACCTTAAATCATGAAGGCAGAGGAAATAGAAGGCATAATTAGGGTTGTCTGGGCAACCTTAAATGTAGCATTTCCTAAATTTTTAGTGTTTTCATTTGCTGTCTTCTTTTCTTCTTTTGCATGGATTAAAAGAAAAAAGTAAAGACAATTTTGGGGAAAAACCCACCCCGTAAAGATCTTATTCAGCCAGGTTAGATCCACAGAGGGACTGAGGTGGCAGCTAAGTAGGGATTTGGAAGATCTAAATGTTGCACTTGAGTGCCTAAAGTGACAGTTGGGCACCTAACTCAGTTGGCAGCTAAATTTGCACCAGTATAGTTCTCTAGGCCCCCTAAACTTCCTCTGGTGGACATGAATAAAACTGCCTTATTCCTGATGGGATCCACAAATCTGGCATTCCCCTGTGGGTCCTGACCCAGTGTGTATCATGGTGGTGGTGATGCTTCTCCTCTTAAAGCCAACAGCCCAGTGGTTTGAGCGCTCACCCAGGATGTGGGAGAATGAGGTTTAAACACCCACTCTGCCTAATTTTAGAGTAGGAACTGGACCCCCTGTCTTTCACTTCCCTGCTGAGTGCCATAACCACAAGGCCATCAGGCATTGCAGGGTGCAGGTTTGTCAATCTGTCCTGTTGAAGCTGTTCCACATTGTATTACCTAATGGAATACTTATTTAGGCCAGAGAAAGGAAGAAAGAGAAATTGACTCTATAGCCCAGTATTTGGGCCATGTCCTGGGAGAGGAGAAAAGTACATTTCAGTTCCGGTGAATTTTTACATATTTTATAAACAGTTGAACAGCTTTGGCAGGACAGACTGGAAAAAAATAAATCACACCAGAATAGCTTATTGGCCAGTGTTTAGGACACTCCGTGGGGAAAGGGGCCAACCTGAGTGCAAGTCCCTGCTCCAAATTAGGCAATGTGGGTTAGTGACCCTCATTCTTCGACTTCCAGGGTGAGTGCACCAACCAGCAGACATTTGGATAACCTGGGCCACACAACCTTGCTTTTTCTATGAGAAAGGGCTGACTGAGCTCAGGTGACTAACTCCATGAGAGGGTTGACGGCTGTGAATCTTGAGCAGAGATAGGTGCCTGATTACCTTTGACGGGTGAGGATTGTTATTATTTGTATATATGCCTATATACAAATGCGAGAAGTATGGGGAATAAGCAGGAAGAACTGGAAGTGCTAATAAATAAGTACAA